GTGAAATTGATCAGTATGCGTTGCACTTTTAATTGCCACGTAGGGGAAATGGATGTAATGTCGGCCTAAATGCCCCTAATTTGGGCCCATTCCGAAATTCAGCAATCGACTAAATTTTCAATAGCAATCAAAAATATCCATTAGTACAGTCCCAATAAGGCGTTCATCCAGATAAAATTAATAAATAGCAGTTTTTTAGCGATGGGCCCAATCTTAGATCCATAGGCCAACATTAGAGCCATTTCTCTTATAACATTTTCGGTGATAAATATCAAGAGAAATCTTAGAAGTATATCATCATGAGACTCCAATGATTGCCTTGATGTGTTTTTCATAACAAATTGGAATTTTATAGAGCTGACGTAAAGTAGCATACAATATCAACATCCAGACAAACGATCATAGGACAGCAACGATTGATGTCATTACCATTTAAGTAGCATTTTTTACTAAACTAAGTGTCAATGAATCCGAATTATTTAATAAATTACGGTAGAATGTTTCAAATATCAAGAAATCCAGGGTTTTTCGCAAAATAACCAGTCATTTTTAATGAAATTGCCTACATTTAGGCGCATTTGAGATATCTTTTTTTGGCGTTTCAGCTGAAAATCCTTTTCACGCAAGGGTTTTAGCATCTGAATCGGATTCAGGGAACCCTCATTTAATAAGAACAATTACTAGAAATGCACTGGGAAGCCATTTGAGGGGTTGATCAATTGCACCCCATATCGATATTTTCAAATTTAGGATTTCAAAAATTTCCTTAAAATTAACAAAACATCGAATATTACGAGAAATCATGCAAGACGATGGAGCCCTCATAGCTACTGATTTAAATACCGAGTAAGATCCTAAGAGTTATCCCATCACGTTCGTCTAAAACTACGTGTTGTAGATATCGGAGAGAGTGAATCAAACTTTAATCGATCGGATTTGATGGAGCTATTATACAAAGGCGAGCAACTGAAGTCAATCTGATATACTGATGATTCCGAATTTGACCTGCTGAAACTAGAGAATTTAAAAGTAAATTTAGGTCCACCGAAAACGCAACTTTCTCAAGCATTGTAGCATCAGATTCACAAAGTAGTCCAGCTTTAAGATCCTGAACCAGAATTGTCCACTTAACCAAGGAGAGGAAGCATTGTAGCGAAGACAACATATCAAGAAGATTGGCAACCTTCCGTCTGCTGGAGTGAAGGTAGCACCATCTCATTGACAAATTGAGCAAATCAAGCTTAACTATTCAAATCGTCGACGTATCTGCTTTTGTAAACAATCACTTCAATCGATGAGTTGTCATAACTGCTAACTCACCCACGCAAACAAACACCACCATCAGGTAGGGGAATCTTTCCCCTACTAGCTGGTGTTGTTAGTTTATGCGATTGAGCTAGCAGTTGCCACACATCGTCGTTTGAAATGATTGTTTACAAAAGCAGGTACGTCGATTTGAATAGCTACGCTTGAAATACTCAATCCTCTCGTTTAAGAATGGATTAAAATTTCTTTCGGCGGAGCTATTTCCTTTAAGCAGTAGCGTACCGTAACCTCACTTTTTAGCTGTGCACCAACTTTCAAAACCAGATTTGATGCCACATTCATACTCGAATCGGTTGAAAAATACACTTAATCTTCTAGTTTACTTGATTTCTATCCATTGCAAGCAATATTTTGATAATTGTTTATGTTTTGAGAGTTGGTGCACAGGAAAATTGAGGTTAAGGAAACGCCACTGCCTTTAAGCCATCGATCTTCTGTCCTAGTTATGGTAAAACGTTTCCAATTTCATCAAAGTAAAATAGTTTTGTTGTCAAAATCCAAATTCCTTTAGGAAGTTGCCTACATTCAGGTGCTTCCTTGCATTACAAGAAATCTGGATTTTTTTTAGGAAGTCCTACGCCTTCCATAGGCATTGTCGTATCAACATTAAGTACGAGAGTAGGATTAGCAATTTTCATCTAGTTTCACTACCTTAATTGCTTACCCTTGAAAGATACACTTATTTCGTCTTCAATTGGCTGATTTCTGCTCACAACACTCTTTTTGACGTTCTCCTATTCACCACCAGAGGCTGAATCGATCGTTTAGTTCCCATTAAAAAGACTTATTCAAATCACTGATTGAAGCCGCTAGTGTATTCTACGCCATCAACCTCTACCGGCGACTAGTTGCAAGCGTGACGCTAGCTACCCGAGCTCGCCACCAGATGGCACCACGGGAGAATACAACGCCAGCAGCGGTCATGCGCCGTCCTGGCGGTTCCGGCTTCTGCCGGCAATAAACGTACACACAACACCCAAAAAGGATACCTACACAACAAGCCCGTTTCTTCTCCCAACGCTGCCGCGTCATTGTCCTGTTGTTATTGTCCTTCCCCCGTATGTTTGCACGCTCGCTGTTTGGTCGAGTTCTTTTCCCCTCTACCAAAATTGGATTTCATCAAACACGGGGTGGTGGTGGTGAAACGATCCTATGGGGACGAACTTATCGAGTTCTCACCTATCGCTGAACGCAACAGCTCGAGTCACGCTTGGCTGGGTTCCGGCACTCGGTCGAGTTTCAATTAGGACCGAACTCCCTCTGCCATTAATCGAATTAAAGACAAATAGTTGATCCGTGAACGTTATCTCGTGTGAATTTCCCCTTGGCCAATTCGATCCGTGTCCCAGCTGTCTATGACCGCCAAAGGGCAAAGGTTACTGCCATCGACCACCGACACTTCACTGGGCTGGCTCGTCGTTCGGCGGGAGTCGGATGGAACATTTTCCTTCTTCAGATTGCAGCAGTTGGTAGCGCGGGCTTGTCCATACTCTTTAGGGTGCGACCACCACTACCAATGCAACTCGGCAACAGTCCCGTCGTCAGAGGGGTGCGAAATTTCCAACGCTCCCGGAGAACTCCGGGGGCTGATGCGATGATGGGAGAGTGCAAACGATCCTGCCACACAGGAGTAAAGGAGATAGAGAGCGCACAGTTCGTGTCGTGCATCTCGGAGAGAGACGAGATAACGCTCGTCGAACCCTCTTTTAATATCCGGCTGTGGCTGTATGGGAAAAACTACCCCCTTGCAGCAGCAGCAGACGCGAGGGTAGTCGGCATTCGTTGTAGCTGATAGAGCCAGAGCCAGCAGAGGCCGGTTTGCGTCGAGAGTGAACGCAGCGCAAGTAGTGTTCGCGTAGAATAGCTGATACAGATAGGCGCGCCCTAGCCCTAGCAAGAAGACAGAAGCCGCCCAACGAAGGACCAGTTTTCCACTAATCTCTAATCACTGCCCCGCCACCAAAGGAACCAGTAGTATCCGCGGAACCCGGAATTGAACTTGAAACGTGCGAAAATCACGGCTTCCGGCAGAATGCTTTAACCAGAAGAAGCGATCTGTTCTTGGAGCGAAAAAAAAAACGAAAAAGGGTGTGGAAGTTGCAATTTTCATCCAACGACCCGTAGCCCACCGTGAAACAAGACGACGAAGGGTGGATGCCAAGTGCAGAATTCGAGGCCAAATAGTTTAAGCCAAAGAAAAATTGCGTGTGTGATATCTTTTCGTTTTTGGTTGGAACGACAGGAAGAAGAAGAAGAAGTTGATATACATATTTATATGAATCCCAATAATTGATTGGAACCAGCCCATCGAAGAACAAGAAGAAGGTCGTCAACAAAGCCGCAACGAAGACGAACGGGCGAAGTGCGTGTGATTTGAACCTCTCACTTTGGATTATATTCGGAAAAAGGAGGGTGTGTGATATTATACACCGTTTTGTGTGAAGAGTTGCCAACTGTTTGATATCGAACGCAAAAATTGACGCGCGCCGCACCACGGATTGCTGCGATCGAATCGAATATCACCAATTAAATGCGAATACTCGTCGCCTACTGAGGGCGAAGTAACACTTTTTGTTCTCCCAAATACTCATTCGAAATATACATCCTCGTCTGTTGTTTTACACTGACGATTAGAACCTAGTGCTTTGCTAACGGAATTAATCGCACAAAAAGCCGAAACAGTGAACCAGTTTTTACGATACATTTAAGCCCCCCGCTCATTGGGATCGATTGCGGTAAACGGAAATTTCTATAAACTAAGGTTTTTTCCCAAAAAGAGGAGAAACGCCTACACACAAACGCAACATAAGCTTAAAAAGGAAAGCAAGCCAAAGGATAAGACAGTAGTGCTAAATATTTTTTTTCTGAAACACACAAATTAGATCAGTCAAGAACTAAAAAAAAAACAAAGCAGAACAGAAAATGGGTGGTTGTGCGTCGAAAGATAAGAAGGAAAAGGTGGTGGAAAATGAAACAGCTGCCGCCAGTGGAACCGGCGCCGACGGTGGCGACGCTGCAAACAATGGCGGTGAAGGGTGTGTATCAAACTCGATGGTATTTTTGTCGAGGTAAGTGCGGCATAATGGTTCGAATTAAAACAACAACTGCCCCCCCCCCACTTAGAAGCAGCAGAGGCGATTGAATTGAATTGATTTCGCACTGGCTAATCTTCGGGTGCGCGCTCCCCGACGCTTTTCTATTTTCCAGGCAAAATATTATAGTGCTGGTTGTGGAAAAGTTGGGTGGATCGGGGGTGGGTACTGTTGTGTGTCGGAGCGAGAAGCAAGATGCCCTTTTTTGGGTGGGACGACACCTCAACCCAATTGGATTAATGAACTCTGTTCGTTCGGGTTGCTGCGATTAAATTTGATTCCCGCACGAAACCGAACCACGACGGGGAGTTGTTACTGCATTTTGCTTCCTCTTCTTTTCTTTTTTTTGTTCTAGAATGTAAAATTATGCCGCACATTGGTTACCTTTCAGGCCTGACGAGTCCAAAACCGAAATCCGTTGTTCAAAATTACAACCTTCCATTGCTTCCACGTTTTTTACAGTAAAGAAAAAAAATCAGTAGAATCTACCTTTAATCACACATGTCAAGCCATACGAGCGAGAGAAAGCATATTCTAATCATCATATTTTCCCTTCTTTGGCAACCCTCTTTCTACTTGCAGAAACAAATCAGACACCATGGTTGACGCTGCCGTTATGGAAAAGATGGAAGCTGGCTTCGCCAAGCTGGCCGCTTCCGACTCCAAGTCTCTGCTGAAGAAGTATCTGACCAAGGAAGTCTTCGACGCTCTGAAGAACAAGAAGACCTCCTTCGGCTCCACCCTGCTGGACTGTGTCCAATCTGGTACGTATTGGTGCGGGTGTTGACCAGAAGACAGCTTTCGATTACGGGTGATAATGAAATTCGAGTTAATTCGTTGCTTTGAAACCAATTCTGTCAAATGCAATCCTGGTGGCATCAGGAAGCTTCATCGGAAATTTCAAACAAAACGCGCCAGTATCCTCACCGCGGTCGTCTCTGAAAGGAAACCTGTACTTCCGAAAACTAGCACAAGCAGACTAGCAAGGAAATAGATTTTTTTAAGGATACAATTCCCAATTAGTTCTAAAAATAGTTTCAAGGGTATTCCGAGAATAATACCAACGGAGAAAAAATTAAGGATTTTTCTGAATTTTCTGAAGAATTCAGAGGAGATAACTCTGAGCAGAAATCCAGACATTTCAGCGGTGAAAAACACCGAATTTCTAAGGAAATATGAAGAGAGTTTCATGTAGAACTAGCTGAGTGTGCCCGGCCTTACTCGGGATTCAATATTAGCTTGAGTTTATGCGCCGATTAAAAAAAGCATGCTATATTGTACGTAGCCCCTCCTCTTATCTAAGGGGCTACCCCCTATGACCATCTCCTTATACATGCAAAATTTGGTTCCAGTTGCTTGATTAGTTTTCGAGTTTTGCAGAAATTTCAGTTTCATTTGTATGGGAGCCCCCCTTACAGAGGGGGTCTCGAACCATCATAAGTACCTTTCCCTGCCCAAAAAACCCCTGCATACAAATTTTCACGCCGATCGGTTCAGTAGTTTCCGAGTCTATAAGGGTCAGACAGACAGACAGAAATTCATTTTATATAGGGTAAATGACTTCCAAATACCAATTCGGATAAAAAATTAAGGAGAATTCCGAACAAATTTTCTGAAGAATTCAGAGCAGAAATCCTAGACATTTCAGCGCTGCACCGAATTTCTAAGGAGATATCAAGCGAGTTTTATGTAGAATTAAGCCAGTTGCCATACCGCTCTAACCATATCATGTCACACCTCTTCCATCCGCGTGTCTCCTGCAGGTTTCGAGAACCCAGACTCCGGAGTCGGCATCTACGCACCCGATGCTGAGTCCTACTCCCTGTTCGCCGATTTGTTCGACCCCATCATCGAGGACTACCACAAGGGCTTCAAGAAGACCGACAAGCACCCGGCCTCCAACTTTGGCGATGTCAACTCGTTCGCCAACGTCGACCCGACCGGCGAGTTCGTCGTGTCGACCCGCGTCCGTTGCGGTCGCTCGATGGAGGGCTATCCATTCAACCCATGCCTGACCGAGGCCCAGTACAAGGAGATGGAAACCAAGGTTTCCACCACCCTGTCCGGACTGGAAGGTGAACTGAAGGGCAAGTTCTACCCATTGACCGGTATGGACAAGGCCGTCCAGCAGCAGCTGATCGACGATCACTTCCTGTTCAAGGAGGGTGACCGTTTCCTGCAGGCCGCCAACGCTTGCCGTTTCTGGCCATCTGGACGTGGTATCTACCACAATGACAACAAGACCTTCCTGGTCTGGTGCAACGAGGAGGATCACCTCCGCATCATCTCCATGCAGATGGGTGGCGATCTGGGCCAGGTCTACCGCCGTCTGGTCTCCGCTGTCAACGAAATCGAGAAGCGTGTGCCATTCTCGCACCACGAACGTCTCGGTTTCCTGACCTTCTGCCCAACCAACTTGGGAACCACCATCCGTGCTTCGGTCCACATCAAGGTCCCGAAGCTGGCTAAGGACATGGCCAAGCTGGAATCCATTGCCGACAAATACAACCTGCAGGTCCGTGGAACCCACGGTGAGCACTCCGAGGCTGAGGGCGGTATCTATGACATCTCCAACAAGCGCCGCATGGGTCTGACTGAATTCGAGGCCGTCAAGGAGATGTACGATGGCATTTCTGAACTCATCAAGATTGAAAAGTCGCTGTAAATCAAAACTCCCCTACTAATCCAACACTAACACAAGCAAAAAATCCAATTGAAAAGTAAAACGTTAAATAAAAGCCAAAAAAAAAACATTAAAACAAAACTCGTTAAAATTTTGATTATTTTTGAAATGTACACCTTTCACCACTACTAAACAAAAATACAGATTCAAACACATTCACTTCTTGTAACCCCCCACCCGGGCCTCAGTCAGAACGGATGATCCTCTTGGTCCATCCCCTACCCCGACCTTCTCTCTAAGGAAGAAACGTGTAGATCATTGTTTCGGTTCAGCTGAGCTGCCTGGCAGACAATTAAAGCATCCTCTTCCATCGCCCGCCACCGCCCGAACGGACCAGAGTGATCCCGATCTAAAGCGTCTCCTTCGGTTTGCGTTCGCGCCCTTGCAAAGCAAACCGACCGAGAACGCCGTCCACTACCACAAGCACACGTGTTTGTATGTTTACTGTAAGCCTTTTTGTCTCTTCGTAAATAACTTTTATCATGAGTTTGACCAGCTGTGAGTTATACATTTGTAAGTTGTGCATTATTTTCATAAAATAGTCACTAACCAACGGAATATAGAGGAAAAACCAAAAAGATTCAAAACCGAAACAGAAAGGCATTAGTAGCAGAGAGCTGATGATGATAGATCGATTCAAGAAAGTTGTGTAGATGCAAGATCGGCAATTAGGTATGTGTGTTGCTTGTCAACTCAGTATTTTTGCAGTCGTGTCGTACCACCAGGTTGTGACGGTTCTCCTCACAGTGGGGAAAAGGATCCCAAGACCTCCACCGCCATCACCACACACACACACACACACAGTTGAGACCTGGTGCCCCCACACGTGTTCTAGATGAATGAAAAGCAAATAAAGACGCCTGAAATTTCAAATTTACTCATTATTTTAAAAAAATAAAAAAGGATTAAAAACATACCAAAGAGAGTGGAGTTTTCATTTGGTTGGGTAAAGAGCTAGGAACGAAAACCCCTGTACTGTTACTGTTTGGTAGGATTTTACTGTGCTTTCAAATTGTTCTGTCGAATAGTTTCTTCTGCTTCTTCTTCTTCTTCTTGATTCCTTTATTTTAATGTCGGTCTCTGCTCCGCAATCGAGTGCCAATCACCGACGGACATCGTAACACAAAAAAGTGTTTTTTTTTTTGTCTTTATTATAGAAACTTTCAGCCTTAGGCTGGTTCGTCTCTTTATTTAACAGAAGAGGCATCGAAGGAGACCCCCTTGGCAAAGCATATTACCACAAACGAAGTGACAGACGACTAACTGGCGAAGAAATCCATTTAAATAATGTGGTTCACTGTAATAGAATTTTCTTGGAAGCTTGTGCCATCATCCACCAGATGGGTTAGTTTTTTTGTTTTGATTTGAACAAAGTTGATTTTGTGTACAATGATTCTTTGACAGTGTGCAAAGAGTGCGTATCATTTTGTCATTTTTTTTATGCATTTCAGTTTTGAATAGAGTGAAAGAGATAGAACCAAAACATTCTAATACATTTGGTGAAAATGCTAGTACAATCCAGTAGTAGTGTTGCCATGTGGTACAATCCAGTAGTAGTGGTGCTGCCATGTGGTACACTGAAAAATTGAAATAGCAGGTTAGTCACCAAAGTTTTCGAGCCGCTCCGTCTGTCACTTCGTTTGTGATATTACGTAGTTTTCATAACAATTATTTTATAAAGTTCCATGGATTGAAATGTCCGGTTTAGTTGCGTTGTTCATCATCAAGTCAGTTAAGTTGTTAATCAAGAAACCTTAATCGTAGTCCTGTAGTGGCGCACTTTGTTGTTTAGAAGTTCCCGTGGTTGATGTCAGCTAAATTCGTTCGTACAGTTTTGTGTCTTTAAGGAAACAGAGCAAAGCTGTTTCTGTTGAAGGGTCGTTAGCAAGAATATCTCTTATACCAGTTTCTAGTCCGTATATTCTTCTCGAATCTTGATACTGAGGGCAAACAGGCTGCCGAATCCCACAAAAATCGCATAGGTAGGCTTTGATCGTATCGTCCCGACTGGAAGTGACTAATTCGTGTGTGGCCGGTTCGCAACCTAGATAGTATTCGTTGATCTTTTCTAATGATTTGGTCATTCCATTTGGTAGTCTCACCTTTGACCTTACGAAGAAAAAGGTCTCTCTCTTGTTGCCATGCTACCTAAGGCCGCAAGCTTATCTGCACTTTCATTGCCCGGGATGCCGCAGCCCGCATAAGCGCGAACCATAAATTGACCTTATCGATAATGGTTATAAATTGTTTATAATCCCTGCTAAACTTCAACTGAAATGGTTATGGAACTTTACATGAACGTTTAATGATAAAGTTTTAACCTTAAGTATTATAGTTTTTTGGAAGTGGACCTTACTAATAATGGGTTGTTAAGAACCATTACCATTCAAAATTCTTGTTTTCTCCATACATTTTCGGAAAGAAAACTATACTAAAACCTTTTAACTTATGGTTTGAGAACATTAATGGTAATGGTTATGGTAACCAGTAAGGTCCATGAATGGTTTTGTAACATCGATCAACTTTATGTGGAATATATCGCGAATTGGTTGCCTGTACATTACTGATTACCAATTCACGATATATTCCACATAAAGTTGATCGATGTTACAAAACCATTCATGGACCTTACTGGTTACCATAACCATTATCATTAATGTTCTCAAACCATAAGTTAAAAGGTTTCAGTATAGTTTTCTTTCCGAAAATGTATGGAGAAAACAAGAATTTTGAATGGTAATGGTTCTTAACAACCCATTATTTGTAAGGTCCACTTCCAAAAAACTATAATACTTAAGGTTAAAACTTTATCATTAAACGTTCATGTAAAGTTCCATAACCATTTCAGTTGAAGTTTAGCAGGAATTATAAACAATTTATAACCATTATCGGTAAGGTCAATTTATGGTTCGCGCTTATGCGGGAGTGTCCGGGAATCCAAACGCAAAGATTGTTAGGTTTCACTTTCGCCCGGATCATTTGTACGCATGGGTGACGTATACGGTCCGTTTCAAGGGCTTTAAGGACACTCGCGGAGTCAGATAATATGACAGTAGTTGCCTTTGCATTGGTCGCTGCTTGATGAATAGCTATGGCCTCAGCCGAGAAGACTGAGCACGTGTTTGGTAGCCGCTGGTGTATCACAAGATCTCTTCCTGACACACCAACACCTACTCTGCCATTGGCCTTGGAACCATCGGTGTATATTAAATCATATCCAGCTAACGTCGTCGCTTTCATACGATTGAAAGTACTTATAACTCCAGCCTTACTTTCTCCGACTTTATAAGAACGTTGAAAAGACCAGTTGACCTGGTGTCTTTTGATTTTTGATTATCCCCCATTCTTTCGTCACGCACTTTCCCTATATCTAATACATGGAAGTGGCAGTTAACGCATTGTCTGACTACCAAACTCCCAAGATGGGAGTATGTATAGGGGAAAGTGGGGCAAAGTGGCCACCCGCTTAAAAATCAACTTATTGAAGCCAACTTGAACTATCCATTTCATTTTAGTCTATTTAACTGTTTTTGTCTAGTGCGAATGTTTGAAAAATGTTGGAATAGCTCAAAAATCAGAAAATAAGGTCTATCAGTAGTTTCTTTAAATGGTCATTGGTTACTTATGTGACACGATTTTTTCTTCTTCTAGTTTTCAATAAACATTAAAGTTTGTCTAAACAAAATATTACTTAAGTCCATTCGGGGCAATATGAGCACCACTGATATTTCAAGCATTGTCTATTTAAATGCTTCAAATTTGTATTATGCCGTTTAAAATAATGACTGTATCATATGAAATCACGTTTAGAAGCAGCTTTAGCAGCAATGCTTTTGTAAAAAAATCAGCCATTCACAAGAATGAAAAAAAAAATATAGGCTTTAATAGGTAGTACAGTCAACTTTCGCTCGTTGGACTAAACCTGTAGCCCACTTTTAGTGAAAGACGTTAGTTGGGCTGAGCTGTCAAGCTGAAAATTGGTTGAGGGATACACCGATTGTTTATTATCATCACAATCCTTTAGCAACTATCAAAATTGTTCATACATGAGCCCCTCGAAAAAGAAACAGCACTGTAAAAAATGACGTTTGACTTCGATTTAGGTGGGCTACAGCCCAACTAAAACGTAGCTCACCTAAACATAGCCCAACGAGCGAAAGTTGACTGTACTTCTTAAATTTAATTTATTGTACAGAAATTAATTGCTTTTTTTCAAATCTTGATCAAGCGTAATAACGATTGTCATCAGCAAATCGCTGTATGATGGGCCAAAAACGAATAGACGGATTGATAGGCAATACGCCTATTTATTACCTTGGGACAGTTAAGAATCTCCTTCCAACAACTTGATCAGTCAATTGGTCAGAAAACGAGCCATCCAACAGAAAGATGTCCCAATTAATGGGGAGAAGAGCCCGCCCTTTATCCACGAAATGTTAACAACAAGGAGTTGATATCTTCACTCTATCCATCCAATTGGCTTCAATTGGTTGCCCTGGTGGTTCCTCCTCATCTCAAATTTTTGATGTATAGTAATATGTAATACAATAATCAGATAATCAGAAGCATAACGGCATAACGTCTACAACAATATGCGAGTCGATTGAAATCTCCCAAAAATAAATGCGTTGGTTCTTAACATAGAAGCGTGCATTTAAGTGAAGGATAAGAGAAAGGGGAGTCAAAGGTGTTGCTATGCAGAATTAGAAGTCGTCGAGATTGAATGCGCATGTTAAAATATCGTTGATCCAGTTACCTGTCATATAAATTTGCATATCATCTAATTATGAGAGTGAGTTGGAAATGCTACATAACATGAAGCTTTAGTGTGATAATTAATTAGCTAGAGAATGGTCTTAGAGACGGTAGGATAGTTCCGGTAGAGTACGGCAGTATGGAAATTGAAAAGAAGTCGAAAATGAGTGAAGGGCCATTAATACGACAGTACAAAAACAAACGCACACTTCTTTGCCTAACCCGTGCGATGTACGCGTTGATTTGAAGTACACACCAAAAATTTAAATCGAGGTCCAGCAAAATGGATTGCTGAACTGCTTCCAGCACAAGC